TGAGACCATGGCGGCGCGGGAGGCAAGGGGGGAGAACAGCGGCTGGCAAGTGCAAGCGAATGGCGCCTCCTCAGGCAGACGCCTGAGCCACAGGGGCTCTCCTCCTCCTCCTCCTCCTCCTCCTCCTCCTCCTCCTCCCTCGCCTCCTCCCCCTCCTCCATCTCCACGTCCTCGTCCTCGTCCTGGTCCTCCTCCTCCTCATTCTCCTCGTCCTCGACCTCCTCCTCCTCCTCCTCCTCCTCCTTTTCCTCCTCCTCCCCCGAAGCTGCAGGATGCCTCCCAACGTCTCGAGAAGCCCCCAAAGCCCCAAAAGCCCCCAAGAGGCGATGGACACGTCGCCCTCCACCACACACACAACTGAATTAACACGCCACAAACTTCCAGTGTCCTGCTCCTCCTCCTTGTCCTCCTCTTCCTCCTCCCCCGTTCCCTCCTCCTCCTCCTCCTCCTCCGCCTCCTCCTCCTCCTACTCCGCTCCTCATCCGTTCCTACCTCCTCTTCCTCCTCCTCCACCTCCTCCTCCTCCCTCCACCCCCCCCTCCTGCTCCTCTTCCTCCTCCTCCTCCTCCTCCTGTCCTCCTCCTCCGCCCTCTTCCTCCTCGCTTCGGTCCCTCGTCCCTAGGTCCCCATCTCGTCCTCGTCCTCCCTCCTCATCCTCCTCCTCCCCCCCACCTCTTCTTCCTCCTCGTCCTCCTCCTCCTCCTCCTCCTCCTCCTCCTACCCCGAAGCTGCAGGATGCTCCCCGACGTCTCGAGAAGCCCCCAAAGCCCCAAAAGCCCCAAGAGGCGATGGAGACGTCGCCCCCCACCACACACAACTAAATTAACACGCCACAAACTTCCATTGTTCTCCTCCTCCCCCTCCTCCTCCGTTTCATCCTCCTCCTCCCCTCCCCTCCTCCTCCTCCTGCCCTCCTCCCCCTTCCTCCTCCTCCCCTTCCTCCTCCCCTCCTCCTCCTCCTACTCCCCTCCTCTCCCCCTCCTCCTCCGCCCTCCTCCTCCTTGTCCTCGTCCTCGCCTCGTCCCCCTTTTCCTCCTCTTACCTCCCTCCTCCTCCTCCATTCCTCCTCCTCTTAACTCCTCCTTCTCCTCCATTATTCTCCTCCTCCTCCTCCTCCTCCTCCTCCTCCTCCTCCCATCCTACTTCTCTCTCCTCCCCCCTCCTCCTCCTCCTCCTCCTCCTCCTCCTCCTCCTCCTCCTCCTCCTCCTCCTCCTCGTGCTATATCAGTTGTTCCCCGAAGGCCTGGGGGCGGACAGGCCACCGCGGGCTCCCATCGGGCGGGGACAATCGCGCTGCCAACGGAGGCGGCGTGGCACAGGCGCCTCCGCTGCGAGCGCGCCTCTGCTTGCGCCTTGCTGCGCGCGTGGCGGGGGTCACCTTCGCGCCGCCTGGAAGCCGCTGCGGCGCTGCTGAACAGCCACCACGGCTCGGCGGCGCCGCTTCCCGCGCGCAGCGGCATGGCCTCCGCGGGCGGAGGCGCGCGCAAGACCTGCGGGCACTGTAGCTGCCGCAAGAACGAAGAGTGGTGAAGCTGGTGCGTCCACTGCAAGACGCCCTTGGCCCTGGGCCAGCCTGGCGGCACTGGCGCTGGCGGCGCTGGGGGTGGCGCTCGCAGGGCCTCCAGCCGCGGCCGCTCGGCCTGCGCGCCGCCCCGGCGCACCGCGGCGGTCGGCTCCAACGGCGCCGACGCCGCCCGGCAGCGTGCGCCCAGAGGCCGCCCCTCCCCAGGTGCGGCCGCTGCTGGGGCTGCGACATGCGGCACTCACGGCGCGGGGGGGCGCCCACGCAGCAGCAGCCCGGGCGCCCGCATCGCTGACGAGGCGCAGGTCCTGGAGGCTGACGCGGGCCCCGAGGAGGCCAAGCTGGCCCAGCTGGTGGAGCTCCTCAGCCTGTCAGGCGACAGGCCAGGCGAGGCCAAGTACCAGCGGCAGCTGGACGAGCACAGGGCCACGCGTCTGGCCCAGCCGCTGTCCGTCGCCGAGGCTGGCGCTGCGCGGGACACAGCTGCTGCAGCCTTCGACGCAGCCCTGGCGGTCGCTGACCGGCCGCGGCAACGCCTCCCCAGAGGGTGAATGGAACCAAAAACATGAAGACAACTTTTATGATGATGAAAACGCACAAAGATGAAGACAAGCAGCAAAAGTGAAGACAAGCAGCAAAAGTGAAGACAAACTTAAAAAACAACAAAAGTGAAGACAAGGTTAACAATCAACAAAATTGAGGACAACGTTATTTTACGTACATTATATGTATAGCCTGTAACACGTGTTGTGGCACATGTAGCATGCAACACATGTGCTGCACATATCGCATGTAGCACATGAAACATATGTAGTAATACATGTAATGCGCGCAGAACGTGTAGCACATATCTCACGCGCAACGTTCGCCACGCAGCCGTTTGGCCCAATATGGCACAGAGTTACTTTCGGCAAACTCCGCGTTTTACGCCGCCTGGTTCGCGACGTTTGAATTGCATTTCGAAGCCGCCGTGCACCCGAGGCCCCCGTGGGCCCCGTTAACCCTCCATCTGGAAGCGTTGACTCTTGGCGGGATCGGGTGGGCCGTGCACGGCACCACTCTTAGGCCAGAGGGGTTTATCCATCCGATCTCGTTCGGTTGGCAAGTGTGCTGGGTGGCTAGATTCTAGTTTTGTGGTGTACGATTTCTTATACGCGACGCCCACGATAGTTGTATAGCGCGCCATGGAGCCCCGGCAAGCTTCGGGGGGAGAAAAAAAAACAAACACACACACACACGAGGAGGGGGGAGGAAAACGAGGAGGAGGATCCGATTGCCATTCTGGCCCAAGGGCCCCCGAGAGGGGGCCCCTTGGGGGCGGCCCGCCCTCCCCCCGCCCCCGCGCCGATCGGCTCTCCTCCCCATCCTCATGTGGTCGCGCTCCTCCTCCTTCATCCCTGAACCCTCTCCTCCCAGGGGCCGCGCGGCGATGGCGCCAAAGAGCGACGGCGCTGAAGAGGGGGGCGCCGCCTCAAAAGGAGGCGGCGCCCCCCAAAAGAAGCCAGCACACGAGACGGCGAGCTACCTCGAAGGCAGCGACGAGCCCGACGACGAATCCGCGTGGGAGCCTGGCCCAGCGGCGGTGGCCCAGGCCAGGGGCGGGAGAGGGTTGCGGCGGGGGAGAGGAGGGGAGGGGAAGGGGGTAAGGGGATGGGGTATGGGGGAAATGTGGAAGAAGGGGCTGGACGAGACCTATAGGGATGAGGAGCTGGAGGGGGATGGGGGGGCCCGCGGGGGAAGGACGAGCTAACAGATGCCGCCCCCTCCTCCTCCTCCTCCTCCTCCTCCTCCTCCTCCTCCATCCCCTCCTCCTCCTCCTCTTCCTCCTCCTCCTCCTCCTCCTCCTCCTCCCCATCCTCATCCTCCTCCTCATCCCCCGCCTCGTCGTCCTTCACCCCACCCCCCTCCTCCTCCACCTCCTCCTCCTCCTCCTCCTCCTCCTCCTCCTCCTCCTCCTCCTCCTCCTCCACCCTCCGCCTCATTCCTCCTCCCTCACCGCCTCCTCCGCCTCATACGGCGGCTGCCGGCGCCCGCCTCCCCAACCCCCCAGCGCGCCAGCCCTCCTCTTCCACATGAAGTGGGATTCGAACTTCTTCATGCACCCAGCGAACATGATTAAAAGCCCGTCGATACAGAAATTATGGTACCAGGCGTGGCTATGGGGGATCTATGGCACACGCATAGCACGAGGGCGGAGATGAAGGGATAGGACAGGGGGGGAGATGATGTAGGGAATGTGGTCTCGCGATGCGGCTCAATGGGGTCATTGGGATTTCATTGGATATTCATTGGGTTGGGTCGGGAGCACAAGAAGATGCTCTACGCCCTGCTGACTGCCCTCGACGGCCGCAAATTCACCAAACAGTGCGCGGAGAGCGCGCTCAAGGCGGTGCACGAGCTGCAAGAGTTCAACCTTCCGAACGTGGAGGGGATGGGCGGGAAATGGATGAGGAGGAGGATGAGGAGGAGGAGGAGGAGAAGGAGGAGGAGGAGGAGGAGGAGGAGGAGGAGGATAAGGAGAAGAAGGAGGACGAGGAGGGGCAGGAGGAGGAGGAGGACAGTGAAGACAGTGCCGAGAGCGTGCAGGTGAATCACGAACACGCCTCGAAAAGGAAAAGGAACGAGAGAGAGACCCTCATCCAACAAGGGGCACTCTCCGCGCCGTGCGCGGGGCCGGGGAGCAACGGTGCGAGGGTCACTAACGGCGCAACGCCGGGCAGTCCCCACTCGCACCGCGCCCCCCGTTGGGAAGACAAACCCACGCCTGTACTTCCGCCCACTATGCAGGTGCCTCGGGCTCGGGCGCCTGCTGCGGCCACGCAGGCTCCCCGAGCTCCGAGAAGACGAGCGGCTCGAGGGGCTCGCCCGTCTTGGGATGCAGGCCCCTTCGAGCCTGCTCGAGCATCGACGCGATAGCTCCGTCCCCCCCACTCCCAGCTCCCGCCGACCCCGTCCCAGCCCTCTTGCACGCTCGAGACAGGCCGACCGACAGCCGATTGGGGCGCACAGCGTGCGCCCCGCACTTTACACAGATCAAAACTCGATCCAAGGCCTGGACCTGGTGTCCTGGCCCGACCTCCTGGGGGTCGCATGCACGGGAGGCCAGAGACTTCAACGACGAACAAAAAAAAAAAGAAAAAAAAAAAAAAAAAAGAAAAAAGAAACAAAAAAAAAGAAAAAAAAGAAAAAGACAAGAAATAAAAGGAAGAACCACAAAACCACAAAAAAAAAGACGAAAAAAAAAAAAAAAAAAAAAAGCACAAGCCGTCGCTGCAAGCCTCCAGCAGGCACGACAGCGAATCGCTCCCCCAGCGAAGACCACAAAGTCGTGATCGGTCGGCCGCCGCGGACGGCGGGGCCGACAGACAGCCTTCGGAGGCGCACGGAGTATCGGGGTGGAGAGGCGGGCCACGCGCTCGGCAGCCCAGGCCAGACAACGCATCGTGTCCTGGGCCCGAAGCAGAGAAAATTTGTGAGCCTTGACCACGGAGGTGGATCCAAGGAAATCTGCCGCAGCCACGCGGGCGAACACATCAGCCCACATATTACCGAAAAAATGCTCCAGGGGCTCCTGGGAAGCCAGGCAGGCATCAAACCCCTCGATGACGGTCCGATGGGCCTTCGTCCAAACAAACACGGGCCTGACAGGGTCGCCTCTATACAGCTCGTGGATGCTCCGCCAGATGGACGCGTGAGGCGCTCTGGCAGAAGCATGGCGACCCTCCCAGGCCATTCCCTCGACCTGCAGCTGTAAATGATCAGTCACGTACGTGGCTGGCCTCTGGGCCCTCTGCAGGGCCTTGAGACCAGCAACGCGCTCGGCCCTGGGCACCGTCTGGATAGGGCCCCCCAGGCTCCCGAACAAAGCTTTGTATGGCCACAGGTCTCGGGCCAATGCTACGACGGCCCAGCCACAGCGCCGTTCCTCAGGGAAATCACTTTCAAGACAGGACCCGTCCCCGTACAACTTCGACGGCCACGGCATGTCGATCGCCCCCCACTCGCGCTCAGCCTGAGCACGTGCAGGCAGCGGCCTGAAAACAGGCCTCAGGGGCAGCGCGTAGAGCACGTCGATGGCCGAGAAGTCCTGCACCTGGCCCCCGTCGCGCCACGGGGCTGCCTCCAGGATGTCCTTCCTCCTCTTGGCCACCTCCTCGGGGTACGGCTCCGTCTCCTCGTCCTCTTGCTGCTGATGCAAAACCTTGCAGCCGAAGATCTCATGCTCGAGGTCGCAGCAGGCCTCCCCGCAGAACTCGCACGAACCGTCGCCGCCGTAGCCAGCCTGCATGCGGCGCTGCGGCGACCAGAAACCGTTGGACTGCAGCTTGGCCAGAGCCCCTCTGTGGCCAGGCGCCAAGGAAGCGTGTCCCAGTCGAAGCGCACGAAGCCACACATGCTGCTGCCGCCTGCCGTCCCCATCGGCAGGGGGCGCCTCAGGCAGCTGGTCGAGGATACGATGGCTCTGCCAACGGTCGAGGCTGCGACGCAGGAAAAACAGCACCTCACTGGGACAATACTGCAGCAAACTGATATGCAGGCCCTCATCGTCACCAAGATGGTAGAACTTGCCATGTACCAGTTGACTCTCCTGAGGGACAACCACAAAGCCGACAGCGGGCCCTGCGCACTGGCCCACGTGACGTGAGTGTGGCGGGCTTCCCAGGAGTCACGCAAGCCCATCCAGGCCCGCTGCAGTCGGGAGAGCGTCACACGCCCATCCCACACCCACGCCGCGTACTGCCCCACGATGCTGAAGGTAGCGAGGAATATGGGGTCGAAGCTCCACTGCTGCGCGGCCAGGTACAGCGTCAGGGAGCCCGACCCTTTGTAGCCACAGAAGACGCCAGCCATGGTCCTCATCTGCAGCAGCTCCGTGTCGCTGATGCCGCTGACCGTGGCTCCGTGCCCCACGGATGGCAGCACACCCGTGGCCCAGAGCCGAGCCGCCCGCTGTCGTCCTGCTCCCTTCTGCTGTGCTCGAACGCTGGCCTTCTTTCCGTGCATGGCCTTCAGGCGTCCCTTCTGCACGGCCCTTGTGGCCGACGACCCAGCTAGGTCGTGGCCAAGATACCGCATGTGCCTCGTGCCAGCGATCTTCAGCAGCCTAGCGTACTTCTGAAAGTGGTAGCTGGTGCGCCTGGACGTCGTTAGGTGCCCAGACTTATCCATCTGCAGCACCAGCCCGAGGGGCCGGACAGCCCTGCAGAACGCACGAGTGGCAATGGCCATTTCTCGCACCCCGCCCGGGTCGTTGCCGACCCAGCACAGCGCGACGTCGTCCACCAAGTCCTTGGGCTGAACCTGAGGAGCGACCGACATCGTCTGGCGAATGCTGCGAGTCAACAACACCATGAGAAGCGTAGTGGCGTGGGTGCAGCCTGCCAGGATGCCCTGAAACGCCCTGCGCGCCACTGAATACGAAGAATACGAGTGCACCGAGCGCAGCTGCTGGTACATCTACACAAGCATGAACGCCATTCGCATAGGGTATCCACTGGCCCTGCACTCCAACAAAATGGCATCATGCCTGACCAGCTCGTAGCATTTGAGCATGTCCAGCAGCACAATGATGGCGTCATCATCGCACAGGGTCGCCATCTCCTTGGTGAGCGCCAAATCAAAGGCCGCATCACTCGACGACTTGCCTCCAGTGTGGCCCCAGACCTCTGGTAGCGCATGGGCCTTCTCCCACGCTGCCGAGACAGGCCGCCTCGCCCTTCCCCAGATCCTGACCAGCGTGTTCATCAGCACAATCAGGCGCTCCCCACCCCCTGGCTTGGGGAGTCTCACGAGCTTCGAGAGGAATCTGCCGTCTGGCCACAGCAGGAGGTGCTCGCCCCGCTCGAAGAGGCGCGCCATAGCCGTCAGCGCCCCGTGGGAGAGGTGCTCCATGGCCCTGGGCGCGATGTTGGTCTGCCCGACGCCTGTCTGCCAAGAGAAACAACGGATTGCCTTGAGTACGTCGGCCGCCTCAAGCCTTGGCAGCTGCTCCCAAGTGTCAGCATCAACAGGTCGGCGAGCCAGCTCACCGCCATGCCGCACCCAGAAGCTTTCCCAATATTCAAGCTTACGATCAGCCAGTACGTACCCATGTTGTAGCCCATTGCCTCCGTCCACGATCTCCTGGAGAGCCTTGGAGTTCATGAATCGGTGAGCCCCCTTGGCTCCAGCCACAAAAGCTGCCTGCGCCCACTGCCTCCAGCTCTGCATCACGGCCTTCTCATGCTTGGCCTCAGCATCGGAGGAGATACTCAGGATGCGGTCGACCTGCTGCTCGAAGTCTGCCTGCGCTAAGGCAAGTATGCCACGCGAGAAGAAGCCGACGGCTTCGGCGTCCAGGTGCGGCCAGACTCCTTTCCTCCGCCAGATTCTCTGGAAGAAATTCTCGCACTCCAGCAGGTGGCGCGCCGCCTTGGAGTGCACGGCGTCCCACGATAGGTCCTCGCCTGCCCGTCGCGGGGGCTGGTGTCGCTGAGCTCTCGACCGAGGCCGACCACCATCGGAGGAAAGACCAGCCACTCCGACGACCTCCGCAGCAGGGGGTGCCCCATCGCCCAGGCCAGGCACTCCGTCGACGTGCGCCTCGCCGACGCTGCCGAGCTCGAAGACCTGCTGCGGGCGAAGCTGGAGCACGAAGCTCTGCAAGGCCACTCGAACCCTCCTGAGGTGACGAGCCCAGCGCGCAGCCTGCGCCCAGGCCTGGGTGCCCGCCGACCTCCTGCTCCAGGCACCTTTCACGACAGGGTGAAAACTCGCCAGCTCGAAGGTCGGGGGGCCTGGCACCGTGGAGTACCCCGCCACGTCCTTCACGACGTCGTAGCGGCCCCGCAGCTCGAACTCGATGCCGCTGAGCACGACGTCCCAGGCCCTGGTGATGCCCTCGCTGTCCGACGCGCTCTGGATGATCGCCAAGATCGGGTCCCAGTCGGGGGGGAACCTCGCGCACCCCGCCGCAGGCGGCCTCCGAAAGCCGCGTGGCTCGACAAGCCTCCTGACCTTCGCGTCAAAAGCCGTGGCGGAGAGCTCCATGGTCACTGGTAGATGCGGCCACGTCTCCGCGTCGACGACCACTGGTTGCCGAACGCGAGGCAGCAAACGGCAAGAAACCATGAACATGTCAATGGTGCGGCCAGGAAGGCTCTGAAGACAAGTCGGCTCTCTCGGCGCCAGCACCGCGCCATTGGCCGACTGGAGCCAGGACAACGGGCCGAGCTCGCCTACCTCCATGTTGAAGCCGCCGCCTACGATCCACGGAACGCCCATGGCCTCCAGCGACCTGACATACTGGTACAGCTTGTACAGCATGGCCAGGTTCTCGGGCGACAGCTTGACGTCCACAATGAAATAGCACGACAGCATGACGAAGCCGCCCTTCACCCCAGCGTGGACATGGGCCGCCATCATCCTGCCTTCCTGCAGCACGTGACTGTCCAGGCCTGGGGGTTTGGTGATGACCACCCGCAGCGGGGCCAGCACCGCAACCCCGCCTCTGCTGCCAACTCCCTGCCCAGGTAGGGCGGGCTCCCATATACCATGGTACCCAGCAGCTCTTACTTTATTCTGCAACTTCGCCAAAGCATCGCCCTCGGCCTTGGCATGATGTTCCTGCACCGCGATGCATAAACACGAGCACGTGGGCAGGAAGTCGACGAGCGGGCCGCCCGAGGACACGTTCACGGTGGTGATACTTGAAACCGACGCCATGGTGCGACAAAGGAGGACGAACCACACAAGACACGCAAATCATCGCCGTGGAGCCATGCTAGGCAGGGGTGAGCCTGGGCCTCTTGACCTTGGCACCCCAACGCATGAAGATCTCCTCCAGCCTGTGCTTCTCGCCCCCAGCCGCAACGACTTCCTCCATGAACTCAGGGTCGTCGGAGTAGGCAGATGGCTGTGGTGTGCGAGGCGCTGCCGCGTCGTCCTGCCGCTCGGCCTGCTCGACGTCGGGACCAGCCTCGGCCCCAGCATCAGCCTGCGCCCTCTGGGCAGCCAACTTTGCCGCCTCCTCCTCCTGCAACCTCTGCAGCTCCTGGAAGCTCGCCGTGAGGCTGCCCGACAGCTGGTGATCGGCGCCCAGGCTCTGGAGCAAGACCCCGAGGCCCTCGAGCGTGGCACCAACCCCCTTGATCGGCTCGTCGAGCGACGCCTTGTCGCCAGGCGTCGGAACCTGCCCTTGAAGCCTCTTGCGCTCCTGGTCCAGCTCCTCCATGCTAGCGTCGAGGGCCGCCAGCTTGTCCCGTGTGAGCCGTTCCTTCTCCTGCAGGTCGCGCATCTGCGCCTGCAGCCCATCGAGCTTGGTCTGCTGGTCGTCGCGCAGCTTCTGCAGCCTGGTGAACTGAGCTCCCATCTCGCGCAAGCGCTGTCCGAGCGGTCGGGACTCCGCCACCTTAGCACGCAGCTCGGCCTGCTCTGCCAGCAGCTTGTCGCGCGTGGCCACGACCGACGGCTCGGAGATGCCCTTGAGCTTGCCGATGAGGTCGCCGACCTCGCGTAGCCTGTCCTTGGCGACGGACTCGGGGCCGTCTCCGTCCGCGGCCGGCTCCATCTGCACGTCCTCCCCGCCAGGCGGCGGCCTCTGCACAGCGGCAAGCCGCTTGCGGGCCTCGGCGAGCTCGGACTTGAGCTTGGCCACCTTGACGGAGTCGTCCCAGTAGCCGTTGCCGCTGCCGCCCTGATTGCCCTTCCTCCGCTGGGAGGGGGCCGAGGGCTGGCGCACGCTGTGGAAGACCAGTCCCTTGCCCAGCTTGCACTTCGCACACTGCCGCGCCTCTGCATGATTCCACCACGGTCTCCCCGAGGGCCCGCAGCAGCTCTTGCAGTACCAAGGAAGCGCCTGCTCCGAACGGTAATGCGGCGGTGGCATCTCCACGACACCAGGCAGCTGCACACACGGTGGGCCGTGGCAGCGCGATCTG